TGGTTTCTTTGCAGCAATTTGACCATGAAGGCCTGATTCACACAGTCCCCTCTGAACAGTTGATGTTGAGATGTGTCTGTGACTTAAACTCTGTGAAGCATTTAGGCTGCAAATTCTGAGGCTGGTAACTCTAATGAACTTATCCTCTGCAGCAGAGGTAACTCTGGATCTTCCATTCCTGTGGCGGTCCTCATGAGAGCCAGTTTCATCATAGCGCTTGATGGTTTTTCCGTATTGACTGACCTTCATGTCTTAAAGTAATGATGGTCTGCCGTTTCTCTTTACTTATTTGAGCTGTTCTAGCCATAATATGGGCTTGGTCTTTTACCAAATAGGGCTATCTTCTGTATACCTTGTCACAACACAACTGATTGGCTCAAACGCATTAAGAAGGAAAGAAATTCCACAAATTAACTTTTAACAAGGCACACCTTTTAATTGAAATGCATTCCAGATGACTACCTGGTTGAGAGAATGCCAAGAGTGTGCAAAGCTGTCATCAAGGGTGGCTCCTTTGAAGAATCTCAAATATAAAATATATTTTGTTTAACACTTTGTTGGTTACTACATGATTCCATATGTGTTATTTCATAGTTTTGATGTCTTCCCTATTATTCTACAATGTAGAAAATAGTCAAAAATAAAATAAAAACCCTTGAATGAGTAGGTGTGTCCAAACTTTTGACTGGTACTGTATATACATAAAAATGATGCCGATTCATGATTTCAACTGGCTGAGAAAAGATATCCGTCTCGTCCTGAGACGTTTATTCTCAATAGAACAGTGGAGATCGAATTTCAATATTGAAACAATGTTGCAAATGTCGAGAGACAGCAACGTTTGTCCAAACCCCCATTGTTGCAAACCAAATATTAGGCTAGAAGCAAGGGGTAATAATGTCTAGAGGCTTTTTTCAGTGGAGATCAAGTTAATGAATTGGCTGCCTGAGCTGATGGGACACTGGATGCACAGGGATTTCTCAGATGGAACAGAAAACAAGATGCCCATTTTTGCATCATAGGCTTCCCCGTGCTAAACAGGTTTTTTACACTGAACAAAAAAATAACCGCAACATGTAAAGTGTTGGTCCCATGTTTCATGAGCTGAAATAAAAGATCCCAGAAACTTTCCATACGCACAAAAAGCCTATTTCTCTCAAATTTGGTGCACAAATTTGTTTCCATCCCTGTTAGTGAGCATTTCTCATTTGCCACGATAATCCATCCACCTGACAGATGTGGCATATCAAGAACCTGATTAAACAGCATTATCATTACCAGTGGCATGCATTCCTGGATGCCAATAGAAGAAAGGCATTCCCCCCAAAATTTACCAATATTTGTATTTATTTTCAAAATAATTGAACTTTCATCTCTCTATGTTTCATCATTTTCCTTCAATTCGCAAGAGGTTGAATGTATCTCACCGGAGAAAGCATCCGAGCCAGCGAAACAGCGCCCCTCTGTTTCTCTACGTGTAGGCCATCTATCTGATGCTGTCTGGTCCAAACAAGTATGACATTGCCAATCAATGCCCATCGCATTGAAGGCAAGAGAGGCCAGCGAGCATCTGGCCTCCAAATTTGCCAATCAGCGTTGAGCTAAACTGAGCGAGCTCAACTGTGAATGGTCCTGGCACACCCAAAAAAAAGTGTCAAGGGAAGCCAGCTTGGATTTGGCGTCACTCCTATCAAATCCCACTGAGAGGATACGTCATTGACAGAAAAACTTGAAATGTTGCATCTCATTGTGTTGTTGTCCTCCGGTGGCTAGCTAGCCAGCTAGCTAAAATTGGCCCTTTCCTAAATTAGCCATGGATGGAGATAGGGATTTGGACTTGTGGTTTTACTTAATTCTCCATACTGGCCAATTATTATAACGGCAATTCTGATCCAAACATTCATTCATACATTGTTGTGCCCCTGGCCTGAGAGGATGGAAGTTCAATATGTAGCTAGATGTAGAAGGCTAATGTTAACTAGTTAGCGTTGCACATGAATGGAAATTAGGCTAGTGAGCAAGCATTTTAGCTAGGTAGCCTAGGACAACAAAAAATAAAAGTGTGTACTGTATGACAGAGTGACAGACCATTTCGTCAACATGAAAGAGAGGAGGATGGCGTTTCTCTACAAGTAGGGTGAGTCAACATGTTTTTCTACTTGCACAACGCACACGCACACACAATCAGAACCATGGACAGCTACATCATATTTAGCTTACATTGATTGGACTCAATTGTTTTTGGTATCATTTAGTTGTCACTGTATTAGACTAAGCAGAGGTGATTTGATGATGTTGAAATGTTGAAGTTGAAATGGTGCTGGAATAGTGGAGGCAGCTCCTGTTTTCTTTGTGACTTGCGGTAACTCTGTGGTTCTAAATCAATAGTTGTTTAGTGATTCGAAAATGTCTGAAACATTCACTTGCTATAGGTCATGTAACTGTCTGTTACTGTACATGCAATATGCTTTGTGGACTTCACTGGACAGAGGTTGATATCCAGTTTTGTGATAAAACAAAGGTGTGGTTGAATTTATTCTACCACTGTGTCTTCTAATTGTCTCGGCCTTTCAGTCGCAAGGCATATGAATTAACAGGTTATAGAGCAAACAACGTAATTATCACAACACATAGGTTGTAATATGGGGGGGGGGGGGGGGGGGGGGGGGGGGGGGGGGGGGTTGGCTTTCCCAGTGATTTTACACAGGTGCACCTTGTGCTGGGGACAATAGAAGGCCACTCTAAAATGTGCAGTTTTGTTACACAACACAATGCCACAGATGTCTGAAGTTTTGAGGGAGCATGCAATTGGCATGCTGACTGCAGGAATGTCCACCAGAGCTGTTGCCAGGGAATTTAATGTTCATTTCTCTACCATAAGCAACCTCCAATGTCGTTTTAGAGAATTTGGCAGTACGTCCAACCAGCCTCACAACCGCAGACCACACGAGTATGGCGTTGTGTGGGCGAGCGGTTTGCTGACGCCCCATTGTGACGGTGTTGTTATGGTATGGGCAGGCATAAGCTACAGACAATGAACACAATTGCATTTTATCCATGGCAATTTCAATGCACCCCATTGTCGTGCTATTCATCCGCCACCATCACCTCATGTTTCAGCATGATGATGCACGGCCCCATGTCGCAAGGATCTTTACACAATTCCTGGAAGGTGAAAATGTCCCAGTTCTTCCATGGCCTGCATACTCACCAGACATGTCACCCATTGAGCATGTTTGGGATGCTCTGGATCGACATGTATGAAAGAGTGTTCCAGTTCCCGACAATATCCATCAACTTCAGACAACCATTGAAGAGGAGTGGGACAACATTCCACAGGACACAATCAACTCTATGCGAAGGAGATGTGTCGCGCTTCATGAGGCAAATGGTCGTCACACCAGATGCTGACTGGTTTTCTGATCCATGCCCTACCTATTTTTTAAGGTATCTGTGACCAACAGATGCATATCTGTATTCCCAGTCATGTGAAATCCATATATTAGGGCCTAAAGAATTTATTTCAATTGACTGATTTCATTATATGAAATGTAACTCAGTAAAACCTTTGAAATTGTTGCATGTTGCGTTTATATTTTTGTTTAGTATAGTATGGCTTAGAATGCGTCTAACCAATCACAATGCTTGTTTTGACCAACCACTTAAAGGGTATCAGGAAAGACTACCAAGCCCATAGCTATGGAGGGGCTCTTCCAATCAGCTGCTTCAATGAATGGTGAGATCCATCCCATTCACTTCTTCTGTGTTTAACTTGCATCCCAAACGACACCCTATTCCCTAAGTAGGGGATAGGGTGCCATTTGGGATGTAGCCCTACAGTAATGTTTGCCTCGGTGAGGGAGCAGTGGACTCGTTATCAGAGTGAGAAAGAGGTAGGGAGAGGAGGAGATATGAGAGGAGGGGTGAGAGGAGAGGTATTCACCCAAAGGGAGCCATACTGAGAGGAGGAAGGTGTGAGAGACGATGAGTGACTTGACAGAGAAAGCTGATTCGCTCACTCACACATACCCTATTGAACACACACACACACACACACACAGGCACACACACACACACACACACACACACATACAACCACTAACGTGTTATATTACACAGCATTGCTTTTTTAGGCCATTGAATCCATGGTAAAATATTCCAAGATTATGCCTAGTAATTATTCATGAAGTTTAGTCAACAGTGCTCCAGTGTCCCTGGTGGATTGGTTCTGCATGGTTTGGCTTGGCTGATCAGAGGTCAGATCTTGATTTGGCTCACAGACTTGGCTCAGTGCTGCTGTTGGAATTATTAGTGCAATATATAGGGAATAGGGTGGAATTTGGGACAACCCCAGTCTTTAGCTCTCTCTCTCTCTCTCCATTCTACAAAATGGCTAATGCAAGGAATACTAACTGTACTTCTGGGCACTTTTACAGGCGAAAAATATTAGAGGAAAAGTACACAGACAACTGTTGACAAATCTCCTCTTTCTTCGCGCTGCTCGTTTGAAATATGGATTCCTTTTACAAACCAGGAGTCGGCACAGAGCCAAATGAACAATGAGATGTAAAGATTTTGCTGCAGTAAAATGCAGTATCAGGGCAATGAACTGTGTTTTCTAAAATGGGTTAAACTAAAAACAACTAAAATACATGTTCTACAGAAGAGATTGACACCATGGCCTACTAACCTCTTACTATTACTAAACTAGTGTGTCAGAAATCATTTATATAGGCTGAATCCCACGACCCTGACAAGAGACGGAAGAGGTGGTGCCCAAACAGATGACTGAAGATACAGCCTTCCATTTACACTGTGGGTGCGTCCTATTCCTTATGGTTCACTACTATTGACCAGAGCTGTGTAGCCGCTGGTGCAGGTGGACTGTGTGTGTGCGTACGTGCGTATGTGCATATGTGTGTGTGCCTGCGCATGCTGACAATTACCTGTTGGACGTCCTGTTGGAACACACAGAGCTGTAGCCTCTGGTGGAGGCGGACTTTGCGGTGCTGCCAGATGCTCTCCAGGCGTCTCTGGTGGTGCAGGACCTCATGGACCACGTCCAGGATACAGTGGACTGCCTTGGAGTAGTTGGCTGTGGCCGTCAGAGACTCTGAGTTCCCTGGGCTCAGTGGTCTCTGGAGGACATCCAGCAGGGCCTTGCCATCCTGACTGACCTGGTGACAGAGAGAGGGACATGACATTAGGAGAGTTACATAACTGTAGGGTTTAAAAAAATCCCAGGTTTTCCTGAAATCTTGGTTGGAGGATTCCTGGATTTCTTGCATATTCCATCCTGATTCCAGGAATCTTCCAACTGGGATTTATGGAAAACCTGGGAATTTTGGGAAAGTTACCGACATTCTGCAACTCTATATCTGCATTAAATAACAATGATTTGACTGAAAAGATTCATCTTGAAGTCGGTCAGAGGAAAATAAGGATTTTGAATGTCAGTTCCTTGTTAATCATCTCTCTTCTGATCAAATCCAGTCCTGGCCTGTTCTAGCTGTCCATGTACGATACTAAATCAAGCTGGTCAGAGCTGTAATTTCATTTCCAGTGCAAATTACTAAATTATATGCAATTTGGGTGCGTGGGGATGGGTATTGTTTTCTTAATCTGTGGCACAATATGGAACAGAACAACAAACCCTTTCTTTTTTTGGTTCAAACCAGAGACGTTAATAGCAACCTTTTCAGAGATGACACTAAAATTAAACAAACAAGTACAAAAGTCAGTGTGGTGCAGAGGCATCTAGTGAAATGCTACACAAACACAAACCTATCATCATACAGGATCTTCTGTGGGAAATCAGTCTGACTTGGATGGACAGTGGTCCACATATTACAGGCCATGTGTCACACAAGGTGCAATTCAGCTGGATTTAATGTGGTGGGTAAAGGTCATATTTGAAAATGGTCCTGAAAGAGTTACAGTATGTATGTGTTTGGTCAGATTTGATTGAAGGACTTACATTTAATTTAAGGGCAATATTTCAAAGCAATGTACAGTGTACATCCATGTTTAGATTGTTTATGATAATGTTTAGATAACTTATGATGGTCTTTGAAAAACCAAAACCTGCCTTTCTTGAAAATATATAAAAGGGTCATTACCATTGTGGTCATTCTCCTAGAAAGCTATGTGGTGGGATCTTAAACTAACAAAGAATGCCACTATAAACCAGATCTTCAGTTAGTGTACGACTGCTATTCCATTCGTAACGTAACATATCATACTAAATGGAGGGACACCAAAAACATCCCTGTCATACAAATTGCCTTGAGGCACGGTTGCACTATAAAGCAGTGTTTCAGTTAGTGCTGTAGCTGAGGAAGTGTTGTGAGGGTGTCTCACCTCGGTGTAGGCCTGGGTCACCTGTTCGTAGAGGGTTTGGTGGTGGTGGATGGCCAGCTCCAGGTCCTGCATCTCCGAGGGCAGCCCCCCTTCACTGCATATCTTGCACCAGGCCTCCACCCCAGCCAGGAACTGCATGGACACAGGCCAGGAGACATATTCACACAACAGAACAGAGACAAATAGACCAATCAACAGAGCCATGTGAGTCACTTCATAGACAGAGACAGGAAGAGAGAAGGTAGGGAGGGAGGTAGATAGGTAGGTAGGTAGGTAGGGAGGCAGGCAGACAGGCAGGCAGACCCCCCCCCACTCAGCATCATAGTAGCTGCTGCGTGTTACAGCCTGCATTTAAAACAGATTAAATGTAGATTTGTTTGACAATGGCCTATACACAATACCCCATAATGTCAAAGTGGAATTATGTTTTTCAAATTTTTTACAAATTAATAAAAAAAGAAAAGCTCAAATGTCTTGAGGCAATAAGTATTCAACCCCTTTGTTATGGCAAGCCTAAATAAGTTCAGGAGTAAACATTTGCTTAACAAGTCACATAATAAGTTGCATGGACTCACTCTGTGTGCAATAATAGTGTTTAACATGATTTTTTAATGACTACCTCATCTCTGTACCCCCCACATACAATTATATGTACGGTCCCTCAGTTGAGCAGTGAATTTCAAACACAGATTCAACCACAAAGACCAGGGAGGTTTTCCAATGCCTCGCAAAGAAGGGCACCTATTGGTAGATGGTTAAAAAAAAGCAGACAATGAATATCCCTTTGAGCATGGTGAAGTTATTAATTACACTTTGGATGGTGTATCAATACACCCAGTCACTACAAAGATACAGGTGTCCTTCCTAACTCAGTTACCGGAGAGGAAGGAAACCGCTCAGGGATTTCACCATGAGGCCAATGGTGACTTTAAAACAGTTACAGAGTTTAATGGCTGTGATAGGAGAAAACTGAGGATGGATCAACAACATCGTTACTCCACAATACTAGCCTAATTGACAGAGTGAAAAGAAGGAAGCCTGTACAGAATACAAATATTCCAAAACATGCATCCTGTTTGCAAAAAGGCACTAAAGTAATACTGTAAAAAATGTGGCAAAGCAATTAACTTTTTGTTCTGAATACAAAGTGTTATGTTTGGGGAAAATCCAACACAACACATTACTGAGTACCACTCTCCATATTTCCAAGCATAGTGGTGACTGCATCATGTTATGGGTATGCTTGTAATCGTTAAGGACTGGGGAGGTTTTCTGGATAAAAAATAAATGGAATGGAGCTAAGCACAGGCAAAATCCTAGAGGAAAACATGGTTCAGTCTGCATTCCACCACACAGGGAGATGAATTCAGCTTTCAGCAGGACAATAACCTGAAAAACAAGGCCACATTTTCACTGGAGATGCTTACCAAGAAGACAGTGAATGTTCCTGAGTGGCCAAGTTACATTGGACTTAAATCTGCTTGGATATCTATGGCAAGACTTCAAAATGGTTGTCTAGCAATGATCAACAACCAATTTGACAGCGCTTTAAGAATTTTGAAAAGAATAATGGGCAACTATTGTACAATCCAGGTGTGCAAAACTCTTAGAGACTTACCCGGAAAGACTCACAGCTGTAATTGCTGCCAAAGGTGATTCTAACATGTATTGACTCAGATATTTCTGTATTTCATTTTCAATACATTTGAAAAAATGTATAAAAACATGTTTCACTTTGTCATTATGGGTATTGTGTGTAGATGTAATAAATGATTTATTCAGGCTGTAACACAACAAAATGTGCAATGTCAAGGGGTATGAATACTTTCTGAAGGCACTGTAACTAAGTGACAACAGTAGGGGTTTCAGGCTACTGTCGATGTACCTGTTCCGACTTCTGGTGGAAGACGGCCGACATGGCCAGGATGGTGCTGCGTTCGTCCAGTGCGGCGGCGAAGCCCTTCCACTCCTGGTCCAGCTGGGCCGAGATCTGTTTGATCTGCTGCGAGGCGTAGTGTCCCGCCTCCGACAGCCGCGACGCCACTGACATGATCCGGTTGATGTTCACATAGGCATTCTGCACAGAGGCAGGGACACACATGGAGATGATATTATATATTATGGGAAAAGATTCTGGGTTTATTTAATTCAATTTAGGATATACAGTATTTGATTTAATTCAGGATATATTTGATTTAATTCAGGATATATTTCATTTATTAACATAGAAATGACTTAATCAAAGTAGACAAACTGTGTAGGGCTTGGTCTCTGTGGCGTGTCTAGCTACCTGGTGGTGTAGTATCACTTGATAGCCAAACACGCAATGCTACACCTGAACATGACACAGACATGACACGTGAGCCAGCCCGCCGTGAAGTGATGGTGTAGAGCTTAGCGACAACAAGCGTGACAGAATTCTGCAGCTTTCAGTGAATCTCTCTCTCTCTGGCAGGCCACCCCTGATGTCTTTGACACTCCACCACACACACACACACACACACACACACACACACACACACACACACACACACACACACACACACACACAGAAAGACATTCACATGCTCTTTACTGCCATCTGGCTCTGTAGTCCCCAAAACCCATCCCCACTATGGGAGTCTCATCATCTCTGGCTGCTTTAGGCCCATCCATTTATCAGCTTCACATGATGCACCCACCGTGGGCTTTATTTACCGCTAAACTGATTAGAACTGCTAATGAAGCCATCGAAATGAACAGCGCGTAGGTTTAAAGCAGGGCTTAAGGAACTACGCTCTGACATGGTCGCTGCACGCTGAGCACACTGAGCCAAGACTCACATTAAAACATAATAACAGTATGAGTCGGGAGTCTGTATGAGCAGAGAGAGCAGAGAGAGTGATAACGAGAGGGAGCGAGAGAGAAAGACAGAGAGTGAACAGAGAGAGTGGGGAGAGAGTGGGGAGCTGAGAGAGAGTGGCGAAAGAGAGAGAAAGAGAAAAGGTTGAGAGAGAGAGACAAGGGGGGAGAGAATGGGGAGCTGAGAGAGAGTGGAGAAAGAGAGAGAGAGAGGTTCTTCAGTGAGAGCCAAAATGCCTCTTTGTGTGTGAGTGGTTTTCGGTCAGTGTGGTTCTGTTCTGTGCCTGTGTCTGTGTCTGTTTACCCCCTCTGATGACTGCCGTGTGCAGCCCAGCCCAGCCCAGCCCAGCAGCAGGCTGATGGAGACACAGCAGGCTGGAGAGGACTGGAGAGGAGGGAGCACACACAGCCACACACATGCACACAGAGACACACACACACACACACACGCTGCTGTGAAGGGCCTCCTGTGTGTCTGTGTGTGTGTGTCTGCACATCGGTGCCAAACACGAAGAACTCAACATGCCTGCTCCCGAATACACACAAAGCTGGGGATCTGGGGAGAGATGATTCTCTCCAATGATGACTGGAGGAGATGGCAGAGAATCTCACCATACTACCCAGTGTTATTATGCCATTTAAATGTGCATGGTTGTGCATGCCATGTGAGACTCTTGGTTTGGTATATAAATAGCTTGATTTTCTCATCCAAATAGTATCAGACATGTCACCATTCTGTCAGAACAAAACTGCAGTAGAGGTCATTGCCTACTGTAATGTGTGTCCCAAATGGCACCCTATTCCCTATTTAGGCCCATATCAAATCAATCAAATCAACATTTTATTTGTCACCTGCTTCATAAACAACAGGTGTGGACTAACAGTGAAATGCTTACTTACGGGCCCTTCCCAACAATGCAGAGAAAAAAAATGCACGTAATAATAAAAGTAATAATAAATATACAATGAGTAACGATAACTATATACACCGGGTACCAGTACCGAGACGATGTGCAGGGGTACAAGGTAATTGAGGTAGATAAAGTGCCTTGCAAAAGTGTTCATTCCCCTTGCCGTTTTTCCTATTTTGTGGCATTACTACCTGTAATTTAAATTGATGTTTATTTGGATTTCATGTAATGGACTTACACAAAATAGTCCAAATTGGTGAAGTGAAATGAAAATAACTTGTTTCCAAAAAATCTAAAAAACTAATAACGGAAAAGTGGTGCGTGCATATGTATTCACCCCCTTTGCATTAATCAGAGAGGCAACAAAGAGACCAAAGATAACCCTGAAGGAGCTGCAAAGCTCCACAGCGGAGATTGGAGTATCTGTCCATAGGACCACTTTAAGCCTACACTCCACAGAGCTGGGCTTTACGGAAGAGTGGCCAGAAAAAAGCCATTGCTTGAAGAAATAAATAAGTAAACACGTTTGGTGTTTGCCAAAAGCCATGTGGGAGACTCCCCAAACATATGGAAGAAGGTACTCTGATCAGATGAGACTAAAACTGAGCTTTTTGGCCATCAAGGAAAATGCTATGTCTGGCGCAAACCCAACACTTCTCATCACCCAGAGAACACCATCCCACAGTGAAGCATGGTGGTGGCAGCATCATGCTGTGGGGATGTTTTTCATCAGGACTGGGAAACTGGTCAGAATTGAAGGAATGATGGATGGCGCTAAATACAGGGACATTCTTGAGGGAAACCTGTTTCAGTCTTCCAGAGATTTGAGACTGGGACGGAGGTTCACCTTCCAGCAGGACAATGACCCTAAGCATACTGCTAAAGCAACACTTGAGTGGTTTAAGGGGAAACATTTAAATGTCTTGGAATGGCCTAGTCAAAGCCCAGACCTCAATCCAATTGAGAATCTGTGGTATGACTTGAAGATTGCTGTACACCAGCAGAACCCATCCAACTTGAAGGAGCTGGAGCAGTTTTGCCTTGAAGAATTCAAAGTGGTAGGCATGTTGTGTAAATCAAATGATACAAACCCCCCAAAAATCTATTTTAATTCCAGGTTGTAAGGCAACAAAATAGTAAAAATGCCAAGGGGGGTGAATACTTTCGCAAGCCACTATATGTACATATAACTAGGAATAAAGTGACAGATCAAAAGTAGTGCACTATATACGGAATATGGTGCCATTTGGGACTTATCCTAACAGTTATTATAATGGCAGTGTTACTGGTGAGTCTAACCAGAGGAAATAAAATCAACATTGAGGAAGTAGCCTGCTGTTACAGTAGAGCGATAATAATCAGAATATGTGTGTTTATATTTAAAACTCAATTCTGCTCTCCATTGCCAGTGGCCTGTATTATATTAATGATAGCTGTCAAATGGGGGAGTAGTTTTTTTTTTTACAACCCTTTTTGAAATACTAATCCAGTAATTGAAAGGCCTTTTGACCCCATCCTTGAACATGTCTTTCAATGATTCAACTCTTACTCATACAAAGTGAAATCACTGAGGCATGACTCAAGGACCATTGACATCATCCATATTATTACATCCCCTGTCCCCATACACCACATAAAGACCTCACACAACATATAGTCCTTACATACCATATAGTCCCCACACACCACAGTCACACACCATAGACAGTCCTCACATACCACATAGTACCCACAAACCACATCGTCCCCAAGCACCATATAGTCCTCACACACCACTGACAGTCCTCACATTCCACTGACAGTCCTCACATACCACTGACAGCCCTCACACACCACTGACAGTCCTCACATTTCACTGACAGTCCTCACATACCACTGACAGTCCTCACATACCATAGAATTCATGGCAAAGTGATTGTGCTGCGTCTGGAGGTCCATGGCGTGCTGGTAGCTGACTCCGATCTCTGTGTGGCTCTGCAGGAACACTTCCTTATTGTGGCTAATCCAGTCAAACATCTATGGTGGGAACACAGGACAAATACATAAGATTGGTTTCGTTACTGGTTGGGTTACTAGTCCTGTGTGGCCCAGTTGGTAGAGCATGGAGATTGCAACACCAGCATTGTGGTTTTGATTCCCGCTGGAGCCACCCATACAAAAATGAAAGCACGCATATAAATAGCACATATTTGGCATATTACAATATATACAGTACCAGTCAAAAGTTTGGACACTCCTACTCATTATTTTTACTATTTTCTACATTGTAGAATAATAGTGAAGACATCAAAACTATGAAATAACACATATGGAATCATGTAGTAACCAAAAAACTGTTAAACAAATCAAAATGTTTTTAATATTTGAGATTCTTCAAATAGCCACCCTTTGCCTTGATGACAGCTTTGCACACTCTTGGCATTCTCTCAATCAGCTTTACCTGGAATGCTTTTCCAACAGTCTTGAAGGAGTTCCCACATATACTTAGCACTTGTTGGCTGCTTTTCCTTCACTCTGCCGTCCGACTCACCCCAAACCATCTCAATTGGGTTGAGGCCGGGGGATTGTGGAAGCCAGGTCATCTGATGCAGTGCTCCATCAGCCTGGAGGTGTGTTGGGTCATTGTCCCGTTGAAAAACAAATGATAGTCCCACTAGTCCAAACCAGATAGGATGGCGTATCGCTGCAGAATGCTGTTGTAGTCATGCTGTTTAAGTGTACCTTTAATTCTAAATAAATCACAGACAGTGTCACCAGCAAAGCACCCCCACACCATAACACCTCCTCCTCCATGCTTTACGGTGGGATCTACACATGCGGAGATCATCCGTTCACCCACACCGCGTCTCACATAGACATGGCGGTTGGAACCAAAAATCTCCAATTTGGACTCCAGACCAAAGGACATATTTCCACCGGTCTAATGTCCATTGCTCGTGTTTCTTGGCCCAAGCAGGTCTCTTCTTCTTATTGGTGTCCTTTAGTAGTGTTTTTTTTTGCAGCAATTCGACCATGAAGGCCTGATTCACACAGTCCCCTCTGAACAGTTGAACAGTCTGTGACTTGAACTTTGTGAAGCATTTATTTGGGCTGCAATTTCTGAGGCTGGTAACTCTAATGAACTTATCCTCTGCAACAGAGGCAATTCTGGGTCTTCCATTCCTGTGGTGGTCCTCATGAGAGCCAGTTTCATAATAGCGCTTGATGGTTTTTGCAACTGCACTTGAAGAAACTTTCAAAGTTCTTGAAATCTTCCATATTGACTGACCTTCATGGCTGTCATTTCTCTTTGCTTATTTGAGCTGTTCTTGCCATAATATGGACTTGGTCTTTTACCAAATAGGGCTATCGTCTGTATACCTTGTCACAACACAACTGATTGGCTCAAATGCATTAAGAACGAAATAAATTCCACAAATTAACTTTTAAGAAGGTACACCTGTTAATTGAAATGCATTCCAGGTGACTACCTCATGAAGCTGGTAGAGAGAATGCCAAGAGTGTGCAAAGCTGTCATCAAGGCAAAGGGTGGCTATTTGAAGAATCTCAAATATAAAATATATTTTGATTTGTTTAACAATTGTGCATATGTGTTATTTCATAGTTTTGATGTCTTCACTATTATTCTACAATGTAAATAACGGTCAAAATAAATAAAAACCCTTCAATGAGTGTGTCCAAACTTTTGACTGGTAGTGTATATATTAGACATTCCATTGATAGTTTAGCTGTCGTAACACAGCACAGCAGATACATTTTTTTTTTTTTGTGGAAAGGATAAAGAGGAAAGATCTAGAAAATAGCAGAGGGCTGTACTTGAACCCATGCTTCAGCAGTATATGTGCTCCAGAGGCAGCGGTTTGGACAACTAGACCCCCCTAGGCCACGGCAGATAAACATTCTATGCATTACATGATACTGTAGTCCTCTCCTTGGCATTAATAACACACTATTGATCAGATTTAATCAAATGCAGTCATTGGGAGGCTTTCCATCTCTCTTTAAAATCCTGGACAGCATGCTCTATTATCTAATGAAATATACAATGATGGTGGCGTGACAAGCGTGGTTATTGGGTGACACAGGAACAACTCTCTAGGCCAGCAGCTTTACATCGCCGCTCTAAAGAGCCTGCGACATTAGAACAAATCCATTTAATCAGGTTTGATCAAGCTGTTAATTAAACATTGACGCTGGTGTGACCTCTCGCCGCTACCTTCCGATGGAATTCCTTATAAAGGGAATTAGTTATCCGATGTGTTTTTACCGATCTAACAGATTACAGTGCTGGTGTTTCAATTTGCTCTGAATTAGAAGCTGTTTGATAAATAATGCTATATTCATTATTATCGTATTAAACTACGATCAAATTGCAGTTAAATGTATTATATTTATTCAATAAGCAATATTTTTTTGCAAATAGAATGGGAAAAGCTGAAAATGCCTAGGAAATAGTGCTCCTCCATATCTTTTGGTTTGATGCATATTTCTTTCCCTCAAAGTAGGGTTTGAGGAAATTGACCATATGATTGACAACGTACTTGTAAATTCTCCTACTTGTCATGCTTATTAAATCACATCTTGACAGCTTAATCTAATAACTTACAAATCAAATGAAGAGAAGCTGGCTAAAGAATTAATTAGCTCAATGACTGTTTTCTTTTTTTTGGGGGGGGGGACAAATTCTGACTCAGTGCAGTAAGTTGATAATGCTGATAAATGACTCCCTATCATGTTCCCTTGGAGATGATGAACAGCGGAGAGCTAGTCTGGAAGAGAGAGAGAGATTATGAGCATTTATCAATTAGTCTACACATCATTATCCTAAATGACTAACGACTTCTTCCACATCATAAAGCTAAAATGTACTCTGTAAAAATGCCACATTCCTTGAAAGAAACCTATTGATTGTATGAGAGAGATATAATTTTCTCTAGAGTATAACCTATAACTCTCCACACTAAAATCCATGAGCCTTTTTGTGAAATAAATGAATGTTTTGGATTATAATTTTTTCGTCATATGGGGGCTGATCATCACCAGTGCATGATGGGAGAGGAAGACGACGACGTGGAGCCGAGGCGAGCAGTAATTGTTCATTTTGTACTTGCATTCAAAATGGCAACCTATTGCCTATATAGAGTACTACAAAAGTATTGGGTGCCATTCAGGACGTAGCCACAGAGATCACGAGGTCATTACAGAGGTCATTACGGAGGTCATTATGGAGGAGGAGGAAAAATAAACACCTGGGTCCATCCTCCCCTCCATCCCTCCCTCCTCCCTTCCCTCAGTGAAAGGAGGCCTTCTGTCTGTTATTGTTACCTTTGATCCTAATCCACACAGACATGAACTGTCTTTACAGGGGTTACACACTGACAATTTCATTCCACCAGCATTGTAAAAAATAAAATAGAAATTTGCAGACGCTTTTATCCAGAGCGACTTACAGTTTTGGTGAGTGCATACATTTTCATACTGGCCCCCCGTGGGAAACGAACCCACAACCCTGGCGTTGCAAGCGCCATGCTCTACCAACTGAGCTACAGGGGATTAAAAATGTATTATGTGTTGTGTAAAACAAGGTGTTTTGTCTTTAGAATCGCTGTTACAAATACTAACGTACAGGTGTGCAACCACGAATGCTACTATGATTGTCCAAGTGCTTGGTCAGACCAGAATCAAAATAATCCTATGGAATCCGAGCTTACAAAATGACCAGTACCTGAACTGCTGAATCTATCATGATTCTGATTAGACTGCGTTGTATAACACATCACCATCCAATTGGAGAGGACACAGGGAAGGACACACACAGTACGTGTGCCATGCCTTGATTGGCATTGTCCCCAGGGAAATGAATCATTATCTGGGCCTGTCCTAATCAGAGGCCCCATGGGGCTCCACGATCATTAGGGAAGGGACTGACTGCACTTATCCAAATTAAGGCCTCTTCATGATTGTAGGGTTTATTGTGGGGAGTGTGGGCTTGAGGGATTGAAGGGAATATTGCATGGTTATATGGGAATAATAATGTTTTTCTTCCTCTCTGTAAACACTAACTGAGTGGCAGTTCTACTTTAGTTTATTTGGCTGGTTGCCTTGAGAAGAAGGAAATGACTTGGCAAAGTAAAATATTGTTTTGAATCATATGATATCATCTTCGTCATCTAAATACCATCACCTTTTCTTACAGACCCACCTGTGTCTCTGACCTTGCCAGAGTTGTATAGGTCCTAACATGAGGTCATGTGCTCACCTTACATTCATGTTGTTGTTGTTCTGTTACTCCTGATGAGTTTTGGGGTATTTGGGGTATATGATGTTTTCCTTTAAAAGCCTGGAAGCTTTTCAGAGACCAAAGATAATTACATGTAATTATTACATGTACCTTTGGGTACATCTGGAATATACATTTAAAAAATCTCATAACTTGGAAAAGTGGTCAAAATATATGTTTATTCCCCCAAATACCATCTCAGGGAAAGATGTTCTGTTTTCTCAATATCTTGTAAAAGCATATTATATCCCATTTAATGTGTTTCAAATAAATACAAACAAAATGGCTGTGTTTTTTTATGTATTTAGGCCCTCCATATAAACAGAGAAAGGCTACGTCTCAAATGGCACCCTATTCCCTACATAGTGCTACTACTTTGATATCAAAAGTATTACACTATATAGGGGATCGGGTGCCATTTGGGGCGCAGCCTAGGCCTCACATCACATCAAGCCCAAAGTTTGTTATTGGTTCCCGTACTGAGGACATTCACGATGCGCCTCTAGGATAAATATTTGAAGACAAGACTCAGGGATATTTATATGCCAAAACCTCTCAATCAGTTTGCAACCTTTTTATTATAAATTCCTTGTCAATATTTGTCTGTCTTACTATACACAAGGCACATGTGTGGCAATAAGACTGGTCTTACTAAACGCCCTGCAAGGTCAAATCACCCAAGTGTCTTTAATGTGATGTGGGTTTATTCTTGTTATTCTGTTAGCAGAGGTAATCATCTGTATCATATTGTCTGATGTATGTTTCGTTTACTGTTTTTAAATCATTCCAAATGTCCATTTATGAACAATAAATATATTCTATTCAATTCTATACAGAGATCAACTCAGCTTAACAGTTGTTGTTGTGATTGTGTTTCTGGCCCCTCTGGGCTTGGTTACTCACCTTCTCTGCATCCTGCTCAAAGAGGCGAAGCTGGAAACACTGGTCCAGTTTGAGCTTGCGGACGTGCCATATCTGGTGCAGGTGCTGTCTGGTCGAGTGCAACTTGTCCAGCAGGCTGGCGATCTTGGGCACCACGCTCTGGAAGTCAGCGCTGCCCGAGATGCAGTTCCTCCCAGAAAACCCATCACTAGAACGGATACACTGAAGCAGCCTCTGGCCCTCGCGGTCTAGCTCCTCCACGGGAGCCTTCATCACCTTCTTCTTAAGCTGTGTGTGCTCGTCGATGAGGCACCGGGAGCCCTCCACGTCCACCGGGAACTCCTTCTTGGCCAGAAGCTCCTGGAGGTCCTCCAGGCGGGAGAGGAGGTGAACGGCGCTCCCCATGAACTCCTCCAGGGCCACGCGCAGATCCATCCACTCCTCGTGGTTGTACTCCAGAGAGCCCTCAAAGTCGTCTGTCAGCTGGGACGGGTCCACCAACTTAGTCAGCCCCTCCACTGACACCATGCTAGTCTGTCAACAGCACACAATCAAGAGGCTCGTTACGTTACCCTAGTCAAAACGGATACAAGCTTCATTGGATGTGTCCAAAATGGCACTCTATTCCTTATATAGCACACAGGGCCTGGGCTCTATGTAGGGAATAGGGTGACATTTGGAGCACAGGCATTCTGTTTCTTATTAGCACTACAGTTCACTGTGGAGGGAAGGAATGAGAGAGGGGAGGACCGAGGGGTGTAAGCATAACTTCACATTACCTAGCATACTACTAATGGCTGACCTCTGTACAGCACTACGGGCAGAGAAGATGGGAACATCGCGGGGAGGTAATAATCATTCTACACATTCTTTTCTCACCAGTCCCTCTGAAAACACGGCTCTGTGCTTCCTGTCCGCTTTAGAGACATATTAAAATTAACGACTATTGTGGAGTATCGCTGATAGTCCTGTGATTGATTACACTTTTAAATAATGTGCTATTCAACTCTGGCTGAAATACGACATCAAAATGCCGACTGAAGAAATATAAAATAGTCCAGGGCAGTGGGCAGACATTCCAACCAAAACAAGGTTATGTTTGCGCCCATGCTGAGCGATGCTGAGAGAGCGGCTTACCTCAAATGTGAACTTGGCACTACCAAAGTTGGTCTTCTGCTTCTGCCAGAAGTTGTCGGGTTTGATGATGAGCGCCACGCAGATCTCGGCAGGGAAGGCTTCCTGCAGGGTCTTCAGTAGAGGCTTGATCAGGTCCCACTTGGAGCCGCGCATATCAATGATCACTGTGAACCCCCGCTTGCACACGTCCTCACTGGGAGATGGAGGAGATGAAAGAATCATGCAAGAGAGAGAGGAGAGAGGGATAGTGAGAGAGAAACAGAGCGAGGAGGGAGGAGAAAGAGAGGGGGGGGGGTGAGTGAAAAAGAGAGGAAAAGAGAGAGAGAGAGAGAGAGAGAGAGAGAGAGAGAGAGAGAGAGAGAGAGAGAGAGAGAGAGAGAGAGAGAGAGAACCAACCGTTAGTATCCAGCAATCCCTGTACATCACGTCCACTTCCATGGAGCTTGGGTCGAGCTGGGGCGGGTGACGTCACGCCATCCAACATCACCATCCAACACTCCCTAATTAATGTCCCTCGGCCAATTTAGACTCCCCTGGACTCTCAGCCAGGCGCGGTGCTAAAGCCTTTACACCACTGGAACTGTTTAACTGCTGTGACTAAATGACAAGCGCTGTTCAATTGGACTTGTTTTCAGCTAACGCGCTGCTTCTACCTTCAGTGTGGTGCGCTCCCCCGCAATTCTACTTTCTGACAAGCCTGTCATCAACATTAAGCTCTGTCGTTTTAGATTATCATACAAACGATAGCATATCACACACATACCTCTTCTCTCCTCCTGGGCATGTCCTCTTTAGATGCAAAACGGAGGGCCCCACTTTTCTAACAGGTTATGAGGCTGCAATACTATTAATGCTCTATTCTTAGGCCTGATGCTCTGAAAGCACTTCACCGCCATTGGAAGAAGATAAAAATAACCTCTAATTGCTTTGGCCCGCCACATGCCCTCCTCCTCCAGCCTCCACTACTTCTGGCATTGCTTTGTACTGGAAGACTGGGGGACACACAGGAGACCATGTCTGCATCCCAAATGGCTCCTTATTCCCTATGTAGTGCACTACTTTTGATCAGGGCCCATAGGACTCTGGACAAAATTAGTGCACTACATAGGGAATAGGGTGCCAATTGAGATGCAACCAATACATTTGTACTAACAGCAGTCTATTAGGCCCCCTTGTTTCCTGCCATTTTCTCTTCTCAAATGGTCACTGGTCATAGGACAACAGGAAAACAGCCCTGACACAGTCATACACATCATACTAGTTGGAAAGGGAAGTGTTATTGGTTGGATGAATTTCTCCTTTGTGTTGAGTAGATGAGGTGCTACGTGAGGACACTACTTTAATTTCCAGGTACTGTAGACTGAAATGTCAATGGATATGTAGCCCGTGACCTTTGGCTTTGCCCCACTGATTGTCAATGAACAGCAGCATTCATCGACTTGGGATGTGTCCTAAATGGAACCCTATTCCCTTTATAGCGCACAATGGGCCCTGGTCAAAAGTAGTGCACTATATAGGAAATAGGGTCCCATTTGGGACACAGAGACGTCGACTTGCTCATTCACTTTCAATTGAGGGAACATGTTGAAGTGGTTATGACATCATCGTCTCAGTTTGTAGTTTCACTCACCCATGCAAGCTCAGCTAATTCAAATGAGCTCAAAACAAACTGAGACTGTTGCTGAAATATCACAGTAACTATCACAGCAAACACATATCAAAGAGTTATAAATAGAGAGAATATAAATGTCCTGGACGTAGAGAGGGAAATCCAATAAATGCCTGGGGTAGGGATTGGGGGGTGGGGGAAAGGTGGGTGGGTGGTGGCACTGGTGGGATGGATCAATAGCATTGACAGAAAAGTAACAGGCACTGGGATGTTGTGATCTGGAGCTACAGTATCAATACAATTCTTGACGTTCACAGCCACACAACTCATTATGAAACCATTTTCAGTGTCTTTAAAGAATGCACACAAAGGTTGACACCGAAACGTCTGTGTGAATTTATTCAGCCTCTCAGGTGAAAAGAGAGACAGAGAAAGATGTAAAGCTACTTGAGAGAGAGAAACAGAAAACCACAAAAAGAGCTCTCTCGCTTCGAGTCAGGAGAGAGGCTCTCATTTCTCAACGGTTGACAGCACGGCTCTAGAAGAGTGCCATGTGGCCATACCCCCGCTCCCTTCTCTCCGCTCTGTAATTCCCCTATGCTTTTCCATTCTCAACATGTGTTGGTAATGGTGGTGGGTCAGTTGGAGGGGAGTCAGGGGGACTCTCCCTGGCTCTCCGGCCGGGCTGGCTGTTTAAACTCTCATTAAGCAGGTCTTTATTCAGAGCTACACAGAGAGGCTTTGAAGCTGACTTCATAGGCCCACTGCCAGGCCTGATCAATGGCTTTACGCACTCAGTGCAGCCCTGTCACTCCGCCTGGCTGACAGCACCCGACACACACACACACAACCACACACACACCCATGAACGCACACACACTATACACACTTGCGCACACACGTATGCATACACATGCACAGGCACACACAAACATTTTCCACTGCAGTTAACAGCATGGCCACAAGGATCAGACCGGGGGAATATATGTGTTTAGATTACGCAGGACAAACACACACACACACACACGATGCCACGAACTGAATGTGAACATTTTCAGCATATCTGTAAGCAGGGCCCAGGCTCTGACAGATATAAGACCAAGCTAGTGAGACAACTTGGTGGATATACAGTGCATTTGGAAAGTATTCATACCCCTTGACTTTTTCCACATTTTGTTACGTTACAGCCTTATTCTAAAATGGATGAAATAAATAAATATCCTCATCAATCTACACACAATACCCCATAATGTTTTAAGAAATGTTTGCAAGAAATACCTTATTTAGAGAAGTATTCAGACCCTTTGCTATGAGACTCGAAATTGAGCTCAGGTGGATCCTGTTTCCATTGATCATCCTTGAGATGTATCTACAACTTGATTGGAGTCCACCTGTGGTAAATTCAATTGATTGGACATGATTTGGAAAGGCACACACCTGTCTATATAAGGTCCCACAGTTGACAGTGCATGTCAGAGCAAAAACCATGAGGTCAAAGGAATTGTCCGTAGAGCTCCGAGACAGGATTGTGTCGAGGCACAGATCTGGGGAAGGGTACCAAAACATTTCTGCAGCATTGAAGGTCCGCAAGAACACAGTGGCCTCCATCATTCTTTAATGGAAGAAGTTTGGAACCACAAAGAGTCTTCCTAGAGCTGGCCGCCCGGCCAAACTGAGCAATCGGGGGAGAAGGGCCTTGGTCTGGGACGTGACCAAGAACCCGATGGTCACTCTGACAGAACTCCAGAGTTCCTCTGTGGACATGGGAGAACCTTCCAGAAGGACAACCATCTCTGAAGCACTCCACCAAGCAGGCCTTCATGGTAGAGTGGCCAGACGGAAGCTGCTCCTCAGTAAAAGGCCCATTTTTTGTTTGCTAAAAGGCACCTAAAGGACTTTCAGACCATGAGAAACAACATTCTCTGGTCTCATGAAACCAACATGGAACTCTTTGGCTTGAATGCCAAGCGTCACGTCTGGAGGAAAACCTGGCACCATCCCTATGGTGAAGCATGGTGGTGGCAGCATCATGCTGTTGGGATGTTTTTCATTAGCAGGGACTGGGAGACGAGTCAGGATTGAGGGAAAGATGAACGGAGCAAAGTACAGAGAGATCCTTGATGAAAACCTGCTCCAGAGCACTCAGGACCTCAGACTGGGGCGAAGGTTCACCTTCCAACAGGACAACGACCCTAAGCACACAGCCAACACAACGCAGAAGTGGCTTCGGGACAAGTCTCTGAATGTCCTTGAGTGGCCCAGGCAGAGCCCGGACTTGAACCCGATCTAACATCTCTGTAGAGACCTGAAAATAGCTGTGCAGCAATGCTCCCCATCCAACCTGACAGAGCTTGAGAGGATCTGCAGAGAAGAATGGGAGAAACTCCCCAAATACAGGTGTGCCAAGCTTGTAGCGTCATATCCAAGAAGACTCGAGGCTGTAATCGCTGCCAAAGGTGCTTCAACAAAGTACTGAGTAAAGGGTCTGAAAACGTATGTAAATGTGATATTTCCGTTTTTTGTTTTTAATACATTTGCAAAAATGTCTCAAAACCTGTTTTTTCTTTGTCATTATGGGGTATTGTGTGTAGATTGATGAGGGGGGGAAATAAACATTTTAATCCATTTTGAATAAGGCTGTAACGTAACAAAATGTGGAAAAAGTCAAGGGGTCTGAATACATTCCAAATGCACTGTATTATTCATTCGCCGTGTTTACACATTGAACTGAAGGTAAAAGGCTTCAGAAAAATAAGTTACTGTATATCACCCATTAATGGAAGTGCCACTCATTTTGAGCTAAGCTCAAACATACACAAACGTCTGTCAATTGATAAACATTTGACCTTGACCTTTAAGTAAAACAATAAAAATTAAAAAAACATCCAAGGGGGCGGCTCACGCAATGGCCTAAAATGCAAAAATGCACCTATCCTTATAGTGCACTATGATGGCTAGGCGCTCAGAAAAAATAGGTCGAATGGTCTTATTTATTATTAATTCTTTATGTATTAGCGACGCCTTATCAGCGACTTAAGTAGTGAACACTATTTTTCTTTACGGCCCCCCGTGGGAATCGAACCACAACCTGCGGCAACCTATGCTCTATATGACTATCTGCGGCATTCCCCCCTACCTGGACGACTGGCAATGTGCGCCGCCCATGGATCTCCGTCGCGGCCGACTGGACAGGCGGATTGATCTCTATTGCACTTAGCACGCGATATACACAGACCACGGCCACTCAAAATTCTTAAGAGCCACCCTTTGCGTCCAATCATCCCAATTGGGTTATGGGTGATTGTGGAGGCCAGGTCATCTATCAGCACTCCAGTTCTCTCGCCTTGGAGAACCCTTACAATTTTAAAAACGGCTTGGCATCCGACGTGGAATCCACAGAATTCTAAAAGGTTCTTGAAATGAATGGAAGTCTGCAGATGTGTCCCTTTCATAGCACACAGCAAATTGGCCAATGTTTACTAGTGTTGATTTTTCAGTGTAACATGTCTAGTGTTGATTCAATAGTTAAATTAACACTGAAAATAGTTAAATTAAGGCTCAATGGTGTAAAAGAACCCCAGTGTTGGTGTTAATAACCAGAGATGAACCAAAACCACAACCATCATATCATATTTCCCTGAAGGCTCTGTTGCAGGTAGATTATTTTAATTGTTTATTTCAATATCTATGTTTTTGCATGTACATTCATTGATTCATTAATCTTATGCTACTCAAATAAAACAACATACATTTTTCTAAACTACACTTAAAGCTTAAATAAAAGATCCCAGACATTTTCCATTTGCACAAAAAGCATATTTCTCACAAATTCTGTGCACAAATTTGTTTACATCGATGTTAGTGAACAGAGTGCCTCATGGTGGCAGTGGGCTTATGGTATGGGCAGGCATAAGCTACGGACAACGAACACAATTGCATTTTATCGATAGCAATTGAATGCACAGAAATACCGTGACGAGATTCTGATGCCCATTGTTAGGCCCATTTTTTTTAAAGGTATCTGTGATACATATCTGTATTTCCAGTCATGTGAAATTCATAGATTAGGGCCTAATGAATTTATTTCAATTGATTGATTTTCTCATATGAACTGTAACTCAGTGAAATGCATGTTGCGTTTATATTTTTGTTTAGTATAATACAATCTGTTACTTGGAGTTATTGCACCGTTCCAGTTTAGATGCTTTAGGTAGTCTCATATCTTAGTCTTCCCAACCCTGGCAGTTATTCTGAATGCAGGTAGCTGGTGAATAAAAATTCCAAATGTTGGATATCCCCACTGGCTGGATTCCAATAATAATTACACATCACTTGACTTCAGCATAACATGACTTGCAGGACTGATGGGACCTGTAAACCATGACTTTCAGGCCACTGTATAAACTAGGCCCTCAAAATAAGGCGTTATAAAGTATGTATTGTATATAGGCTCTCACTTGGTGAAGGCCGCAGTACTGAAAATGAATGAATGCAACAACCATGTCTCTGTCACCAGCAAACACAGTCATTGGTGGTACTGATAACTCTAAAATGCACTCGAAAGGCACCCTGGGAAATATGCAAATAAGGCTCAACACCTTATTTGCATAAAATAAGGTGTTGAGTGTGTGTGGTTCTTCCATTTAAGGTTCTTCAGAGAACCTAAAATGGTTCCCCTATGGCATCGCTCTGAAAAACCTTATTTGGTTCCAACTGGAACCTTTATTTTTAAGTGTAGGGAATAGGGTGCCATTTGAGACAAAACCCTAACGTGCATCAAAGAGAGACATGCGATCTGCAATGTACAGATAGCTAGCAGAATGTTTAACGCACTAAGGCAGGTAAGGAAACAGAGCAGCTGTTCTAGCAAACTGTCATAAATCATTCCTGCGGGCTTTTCTTCGGGGAGTCTCTCTAATAGCCCTCCTGGGAAAACTAAAAAGGTTTGGCGAGAGGGAGAGAGGGAGCCCCTCGAAAACCCTGGGCTCACTGTTTACATTAGCCCATTGTAGCCTCAAGGACGGGCTCACAGCCAGCTGCTTTCATGAGACTCCATTCCACACTAGTCCATACACTTAATGGGTGAGTCCTAAATGGCACCCTATTCCTTACAGAGTGCACTACATTTGACCAGAGCCCTATGGGCCCTAGTCTAAAGTAGTGCACTATATAAGGCACTGGTTCTCAACTCTAGTCCTCCAGTACCCCCAACAGCACACATTTTTATTGTAGCCCCGGACAAGCACACCTGATTCAAACTGTCAACTAATTATCAGGCCCTCAATGAGTTGAATCAGGTGTTTTATGTCTGGGGCTACAACAAAAAGATGTGCTGTTGGGGGTCCTCAAGGACTGGAGTTGGGAAGCACTGTTATAGGGAATAGCGTGCCTTTTGGGATGCATACTTTATTTACATACGCTACATTAGCCAAACACAGGCTGGGCAGAGGTGGAAGGGAGTAAAAAAAGACTGAAGCAACAGCTCTATTAAGGATGGATTAGTTAACAATGCAACTGTGTGTGTGTGTGTGTGTGTGTGTGTGTGTGTGTGTGTGTGTGTGTGTGTGTGTGTGTGTGTGTGTGTGTGTGTGTGTGTGTGTCCGTGCGTGCGTGTGTGTGGGGTGCTGTCCGTCTTCCCATGCAGAACCTCAGACAACAGGTCACATACCGTTCCATTAATTCCATTCCAGCCATTACAATGAACCCATCCTCCTATAGCTCCTCCCACCAGCCTCCTCTGTGATAGACAGAAGATGGGCCCTCACACATAGAATGAAATATAACACTAGATTGGACATTGGCATCCTAGCAATATGACTAAATAATCCACCACCTTGGTCAGGAAAACTTTCATTCTGATCAAATATGGTACAATATTGTATAAAACAATGAATTTGTTGATATTGGCCAATCTGCACAGTATATTTGTTAGCTAGTTAGCCAGCTAGTGAATTATAGGATCTCTATGCCCTCACGTCTCACAGACCAGAAACTCATATACGGTTCTCCGTCTTCCTATTGAAATGGCTGTTAGTAGTACACACCAGGACCAAAAGTATGTGGACACCTGCTCGTCGAACATCTCATTCCAAAATCATGGGCATTAATATGGAGTTGCTCCGCCTTTTGCTGCTATAACAGCCTCCACTCTTCTGGGAAGGCTTTCCACTAGATGTTGGAACATTGCTGCGGGGACTTGCTTCCATTCAGCCACAAAAGCATTAGTGAGGTCGGGCACTGATGTTGGGCGATTAGGCCTGGCTCGCAGTCGGCGTTCCAATTCATCCCAAAGGTGTTCGATGGGGTTGAGGTCAGGGCTCTGTACAGGCCAGTTAAGTTCTTCCACACCGATCTCAACAAACCATTTCTGTATGGACCTCACTTTGTGCACGGGGGCCTTGTCATGCTGAAACAGGAAAGGGCCTTCCCCAAATTCATGAAAACTAAAATGTGCTTTTTGGTCTTAATTTAAAGTTAGGGTTAGCAGTGTGGTTAAGGTTAGGGTTAAGGTTAGACTTTGTGGCTGTGCCAGCTAGTGACCATTCTGCAGAGTTGCCTCCAGAACAAGATAAAAAAAACACTAAGCTGCTTTAACCTTATTCATTGTGATCTAAAAAGCAAAACTGACACAAAGTTGGAAGCACAGAATCATCTAGAATGTCACTGTATGTTGTAGCGTTAAGATTTCCCTTCACTGGAACTAAGGGGCATAGCCCGAACCATGAAAAACAGCCCCTCCTCCACCAAACTTTACAGTTGGCACTATGCATTGGGGTAGGCAGTGTTCTCCTGGCATCCACCAATCCCAGATTTGTCCGTCGGACTGCCAGATGGTGAAACGTGATTCATCACTCCAGAGAAGGCGTTCCCACTGCTCCAGAGTCCAATGCCGGCGAGCTTTACACCACTCCAGCCGATGCATGGTGATCTTAGGCTTGTGTGCGGCTGCTCGGCCATGGAAACTCATTTCATGAAGTTCCCAATGAACAGTTATTGTGCTGATGTTGCTTCCAGAGGCAGTTTGGAACTCAGTAGTGAGTGTTACAACCGAGGACAGACGATTTTTACGCGCTACGCGCTTCAGCACTCAACGGTCCCGTTCTGTGAGCTTGTGCGGCCTACCACTTACCTGCTGAGCCGTTGTTGCTCCTAGACGTTTCCACTTCACAATAACAGTACTTACAGTTGACCGGGGCAGCTCTAGAAGGACAGAAATTTGTCGAACTGACTTGTTGGAAAGGTGGCATCCTATGACGGTGCCACGTTGAAAGTCACTGAGCTCTTCAGTAAGGCCATTCTACTGCCAATATTTGTCTATGGAGATTGCATGGCTGTGTGCTTGATTTTATACACCTGTCAGCAACGGATGTGGCTGAAATAGCCGAAAACACTAATTTGGAGGGGTGTCCACATACTTTTGTATATATAGTGTATGTAAACTGTATCTACAATTTCCATTAATCTTTCTGTGGGAGCACTTTCACATTTTTCCTCTGAGAATTACAATCACAAAAGGAACACTTGACTTGACACACAAAATCTAAGAATATTCATTCAAATAATATCTACATTTCATGATATACAGTACACCACAACATGGATGACCCTCTCCTTATGACAACAAAACAGAATGGACCATATTGAAATAAGCTCTAATGTGTATGCCGTGTGTCAACATACATGGAGACGGCATGTTTCTCCTGCTAGCCACATACATTAAGTCATGTTTACATTAGTATGATTAAGAATGTATGAAAATGTATGCACTCACTAACTGTAAGTCGCTCTGGATAAGAGCGTCTGCTAAATGACTAAAATGTAATATGTAAATGTAAGAAATGATTCCAGGGACCGTATGTCTCAGAGTCTCAGAGTTGGAGTGCTGATCTAGAATAAGGTCCCATCTGTCTATGTAATCTTGCAGGTTGACGTTTATTGTCATTAGTCTTGTCCTGAAGGCAGAACTAAGCAATTTCCCCTTAGATAGGCCAGCTGCAAAGTCAAAATGGGCTATATTGTAAAAATTCATGAAAACTAAAATGTGCTTTTTGGTCTTAATTTAAAGTTAGGGTTAGCAGTGTGGTTAAGGTTAGGGTTAAGGTTAGACTTTGTGGCTGTGCCAGCTAGTGACCATTCTGCAGAGTTGCCCCAGAACAAGATAAAAAAAACACTAAGCTGCTTTAACCTTATTCATTGTGATCTAAAAAGCAAAACTGATCATAAATCAGATACATCTCCACTGTTCTTACCTGGGCACGGTGGAGAGATACGTCACCAGCTGTCGCAGCTCCTCGTGTTTTATTCTGTCATGGTTGCTTCTGGCAGGGAAGGTCAGTATGGGGCCACCTCTCTTATCACGACCTCCTGTAGGAACACAGACAATAGAAATCTCCTTATTTTTGAGAGCCCTATTGCAGAAATAGATAGAGCTTTAAGCACACATATAAGGGTACTTTGACCAGGGCCCATAGGGTACTAAAGCTTCATGCTGCGATTCTCAGTATTCTCTCAAAGTGCCTGTATACATCAATTACAGTAAGACATGGTATACAACATAATGAGAGTAGAAAGGGTCTATCTTCATGTCTCTTATGTACTAGGTCTTTATCCCAAATGGCACCCTATTCCCTGTACTACTTTTGACCAGAGCCCATGGTCAAAAGTAGTGCACTATAATAGGGAATATGGTGTCATTTGGGACACATCCCATGTGTAGAGAGATGCATGAACAGATTGAGGGTGAAGTACATTTGTTTATCCCTGGTGCTCATGGGACTTTGTCAGTAGCACCAGGAAGGGAGACAGGGTGGCAAGGCAGCAACAGCGCCCCAGAGGGAGGGCATGGAGGGCCTTATCCAGATGGGATCTTGTTGGTGACAGATCTTTGTTGACACTTTTTGGGAGAACCAACCCCCTCGGATGGCAGGGATCCCCCGTACCTCCCCCTCCCCGCGACTCTCTGACAAATGTCCACCAGTCTTTCATCCTCAAGGTCCCGCCCTCTTCTCCTTCAGCCTGTGTGTGTTTGTGTGTCTGCACCACACACTAGGCCTCGTCACAGAGATAAGGCCAACATTACTCTACTGCTGCTGTTATGTATTTGCGGGAGTAAAAATTGAGTGTTACTTGCATAACCCCGGTTATATGAGAATATGAGTGAAATGTCTCACTTATGGAATTCACTCTAGCGGATCACTAACTTGAAGAACCAATCACACAACGTCTGTTGGAGACAGACAGGTCGAGTGATGAATGAGGTGAGCCCCTTCCCTCCTTATAAGGCGCCACTCACCCCTTCTCTGGTCATTCTCAAGCATGCTTCTCTTCCTTGGCCTCTTGCGAGCATGGAAATGCGGTGAGACTATTTCGAATAATCGTTTCGATGTCTCACTTATGGGATATGGCCAACCCCCGTATCGCAGACATGCTCTCCGAAGCCAGGGTAGTCCCAACAGCATCACCCCTCAGAGGCTCCAACCCTGAGGACAGTATGCACCAATGAAGGTGCAGTGACATCCAGTCGGTAAAACCTCATTAATGTATGAGGGGTGGCCCAACATGCCACATTGCAAATCTCTTGCAAAGAGATGCCTTTGAACAGTGCCCAAGAGGTAGCCATCCCTTTGGTGGAATAAGACCTCAGACCCTACGGGGGCTGTAAACCCTTGCTATTATAAGCCAATATAAAAGCCTATCCAATGGGATAGCCGTTGATGAAAGAGGGGCCCACCCTTGCAGGGGGGGCCCAAGACGAGTTGGTCACTCTTTCGCCATGCTCTCGTTCTATCTAAGTGAAAAGCGTGCACTGGACATAAACGGTGGAGACGCTCTTCTTCCGTAGAAGTGAAGGGCGGCAGGTGGAAAGCCATAAACTCTTTTAATTGCTGCTGACCTTAGGCATAAAGGTGGGGTTGGGTAACAATGTTACCTTGGATAACCCCAGAGCTAACTGTAGGCACGAATGGTGGACTGACGGTGTGTGCAGCTCACTCACTCGCAGGGCAATCAGTAAAGGAGAGATATTACATCTCCACGCTTTCCAGCAGCAGTGAAACGGCCTCAAGCACAATAGACAGGTCCAAAGACGGGGCTAAAGGCTTGGACACTGAGCATAAGTAAAGCACTCCCTTCATTAAACAACATAACAGAGGGTGTTTCCTTACTGTGTTATTGTCAAAGCCTACAGTTGCTTGCGAAAGTATTCACCCCCCTTGGCATTTTTCCTATTTTGTTGCCTTACAACCTAGAATTAAAATGGATTTTTGGGGGGGTTGTATTATTTGATTTACACAACATGCCTACCACTTTGAAGATGCAAAATATTTTTGGGGGTGAAACAAACAAGAAATAAGACAAAAAAACAGAAAACTTGAGCGTGCATAACTATTCACCCCCCCAAAGTCAATCCTTTGTAGAGCCACCTTTTGCAGCAATTACAGCTGCAAGTCTCTTGGGGTATGTCTCTATAAGCTTGGCATATCTAGCCACTGGGATTTTTGCCCATTCTTCAAGGCAAAACTGCTCCAGCTCCTTCAAGTTGGATGTGTTCCGCTGGTGTACAGCAATCTTTAAGTCATACCACAGATTCTCAATTGGATTGAGGTCTGGGCTTTGACTAGGCCATTCCAAGACATGTAAATGTTTCCCCTTAAACCACTTGAGTGTTGCTTTAGCAGTATGCTTAGGGTCATTGTCCTGCTGGAAGGTGAACCTCCATCCCAGTCTCAAATCTCTGGAAGACTGAAACAGGTTTTCCTCAAGAATTTCCCTGTATTTAGCGCCATCCATCATTCCTTCAATTCCCAGTCCCTGTGGATAAAAAACATCCCCACAGCATGATGCTGCCATCCCCACGCTGGGATGGTGTTCTCATGGTGATGAGAGGTGTTGGGTTTGCGCCAGACATAGCGTTTTCCTTGATGGCCAAAAAGCTCAATTTTAGTCTCATCTGACCAGAGTACCTTCTTCCATATGTTTGGGGAGTCTCCCACATGCCTTTTTGGCAAACACCAAACGTGTTTGCTTATTTTTTTATTTAAGCAATGGCTTTTTTCTGGCCACTCTTCCGTAAAGCCCAGCTCTGTGGAGTGTGCGGCTTAAAGTGGTCCTATGAACAGATACTCCAATCTCCGCTGTGGAGCTTTGCAGCTCCTTCAGGGTTATCTTTGGTCTCTTTGTTGCCTCTCTGATTAATGCCCTCCTTGCTTGGTCCATGAGTTTTGGTGGGCGGCCCTCTCTTGGCAGGTTTGTTGTGGTGCCATATTCTTTCCATGTTTTAATAATAGATTTAATGGTGCTCCGTGGGACGTTCAAAGTGTCGTATATATTTTTTATAACCCAACCCTGATCTGTACTTCTCCACAACTTTGTCCCTGACCTGTTTGGAGAGCTCTTTGGTCTTCATGGTGCCACTTGCTTGGTGGTGCCCCTTGCTTAGTGGTGTTGCAGACTCTGGGGACTTTCAGAACAGGTGTATATATACTGAGATCATGTGACAGATCATGTGATACCTTTATTATTTTTTTATTTTATTTTTTTATAATATTTTTTATTATTTATTCTATTTTTTATTTTTATTTTATTTATTTTTTGGGGGGGAATGGATCAGCTTAATATTGCAGATAGATTGTATCTTCTATCAATGTAATTGTCTGCATCACTTCCAATCCCCCATGTTTATTTTTATTTTTTATATATATATTCCCCTTTATTACTTTTCAACCCCACCATCCTTTCCCTACTTGGAGTAAATTAGTGAACAACAACGCCCAGGCCTCTACTTCCGGTCTATACTTACTATCTACACCTTATGGACAGAGTTAATTTTACAATAATTCTATATATATATATATATATATATATATATATATATATATATATATATATATATATATATATATATATATATATTTATTTTTTTGCTCCTGAACTTCTTCTACTCTCAACCTCTCCGATCATTTTCATGATGTCCATCCGGTTTGCTTCTAAATGCCATATCTTTCTAACTGTGCTCTTTCCCAAAAGCTCCCAACATACAACCTATATACTTATTATGGACACAGTATGCTTACATTATTAGCTATCTTTGTTATTATTTGTTGTTATTTGTTATTAGTCCCATCCTTCAACTCTATTCAATACCTCCCATCTATCTCTTAACACCATCCATATAGGATTTCTATTTGCCATATATATTTCAACCGTACTGTGATGTTTTACAAAAGTTCTGAACCTTTCTATTCTCATTGCTTCTACAGATTGTGAATTAAAAATAAACATTTTTGCTAAAAGTATTATTATATTATTGATTGATTGACTATGACTTTTCAGATCACCCAGTAATGCTATCTGCAAGGTTAGTTCCAGGTAAATATTGCAATCCTTTAGCCATTCCTGGACCTGTGTCCAAAAACAAGCTACAAATGGACAGAACCAAAACAAATGATCTAATGATTCTATCTCTTCACAGCAAAATCTGCAGAGCTGGGAAGATTGTATCCCCCATATAAATAACATTCTATTGGTAGCAAGAATTTTATATAATAATTTAAATTGAAAGATTCTAATTTTTGAATCCGGTGTCGTTTTGCGTGTCAGTTCATAAACACTATGCCATGGGATCGGTACGTCAAAGATCTCTTCCCAACTATTTTGCAATCTATATGGGACGGCTGTCAATCCTTTGGTCCTTAAGTGAAACTGATATACTTTTTTATTTATCACAGTTTTCCTTAACCAATTATGTTCTTTAATGCAAGGCCGACAGACAAGTTCCTTACTTTCTCCCCCTTCAACTTTCCTCTTCCACTTTTGCGGTAAGGCTGCAATTATTTGGTTGTAATTTTGGGTAGAGCAGACATTTCCATATGTTTTTGTTAGCTGCATGTGCGACATAACTCCACCAGTCCTACCAATGATATCATTTACGAAGATTATACCTTTTTTAAACATTCTGTCAAAAAATAAAGTTTTTTTGTCAATTAGTATATTTGAATTTAAACACAATATTTGTTGCATTATTTGTTCTGTCGTTTCTGGAGGATTAAATTGAAATTGCAACCAACTTTCTATGGCTTGTTTTAGAAATAGTGACATTTGGGAGATTATTTCCTTTTCAAATAACTGAAAGTGAGAGGTTGTAATCTGAATAAAGGGAAAAAGGCCTTTCTTGAACAGTGGGTGAGACAATCTTACTAATTTGCTTGAGAACCAGTTCGGATTTAAGTATAACTTTTGGATGACTGAAGATTTTAGTGATAGGTCTAATGCTTTAATATTTAATAATTTCTGTCCTCCGAATTCATATTCATTATATAAATATGCTCTTTGAATTTTGTCTGGCTTGTCGTTCCAAATAAAATTGAATATTTTTTTCTCATATAATTAAAAAAACTGTTTGCTAGGCGTAGGCAAGACCATAAGCAAATAGGTAAACTGGGATAATACTAAAGAGTTAATCAGGGTGATTTTTCCACAAATTGACAGGTATTTTCCTTTCCATGGTGGTAAGATCTTATCTATTTTTGCTAACTTTCTATTAATATTTATTGAAGTGAGATCATTTATTTCCTTTGGGATATGTATTCCGAGTATATCCACATCACCATCAGACCATTTTATTGGTAAACTACATGGTAATGTAAAAATTGTATTTTTTAGTGATCCAATACGTAATATAGTACATTTGTCATAATTTGGTTTTAATCCAGAGTGGTTAAAAAATGTATCTAGATCCTCTATGAGGCTGTGGAGGGATTCTAGTTGTGGATCTAAAAGAAAACATGAATCATCTGCGTACAATGACACCTTTGTTTTTAAGCCCTGTATTTCTAATCCTCTGATATTATTATTGGATCTGATTTTAATAGCTAACATCTCGATGGCCACAATAAATAGATATGCCGATAGTGGACAACCTTGTTTCACTCCTCTTGACAGTTTAAAACTTTCTGAGAAATAGCCATTATTTACTATTTTACACCTAGGGTTACTATACATGATTTTGACCCATTTTATAAGAGATTCTCCAAAATTGAAATGCTCCAGGCATTTATATATAAATCCCAGTCGAACTTTATCAAATGCCTTTTCGAAGTCTGCTATGAATAGCAGGCCTGGTTTCCCATATTTTCCATAGTGTTCTATTGTTTCCAATACTTGCCTTATATTATCTCCAATGTATCTTCCATGTAAAAAACCTGTCTGATTAGAATGAATAATATCCGACAATACCTTTTTAATTCTATGCGCTATACATTTTGCTAGGATTTTTGCATCACAACACTGAAGTGTAAGGGGCCTCCAATTTTGTAAATGGACTGGATCTTTATATTTTCCACTTGTATCCTGTTTCAGTAATAATGAGATCAGACCTTCTTCTTGAGTGTCAGATAATCTACCATTTACATAGGAGTGGTTAAAACATGCTAATAACGGTCCTCTTAGTATATCAAAAAAGGTTTGGTATACCTCGATTGGTATGCCATCCAACCCTGGAGTTTTCCCGGACTTAAAGTCTTTAATTGCATCCAGAAGTTCCTCCTCTGTAATTTCACCTTCACATGAGTCTTTCTGTGTGGCTGTTAATTTGACATTATCAATAGAAAAAAAATCTCTACAATTAGCTTCAGTTAGAGGAGATGGAGGCGACTGAAAAGAAAACATATGCTTAAAGTACTTTGTTTCTTCCTTCAAAATATCATTAGGTGAATTATGGGTGACTCCGTCAATTGTAACCAGTTTCATTAAGTTCTTTTTGGTAGCATTCCTATGTTGAAGATTAAAAAAGAATTTTGTGCATTTTTCCCCATATTCCATCCAGTTTGCTTTATTTTTATAATATATTACACTTGATCTTTCTTGAATAAGTTTTTCCATTTCTTTTTGTTTTTCCTCTAATTTATTCTGAGCCTCTATGTTACAGTTTTTATTGCCATCTATCTGTTCTGTTAGACTTTCTATTTCCTTTCTTAGTATAAACTCTTTTGACCTAAATTGCTTTTGTTTTCGAGATGAGTACTGAATTGCATGGCCTCTAAAGGCACATTTAAAGGTGTCCCATACAATAAGGGGATTCGCTGTACCTATGTTATGTTGGAAAAAGTCAGTTATAAATTCCTTTGTTCTAATTATAAATAAATTATCATCCAATAGGCTTTGATTAAATTTCCAATATCCTCGCCCACGTGGAAATTCAGTCAGAGTAATGTATATGCCTATTATATGATGGTCCGACCGCATTCTGTCCCCTATCAACACTTTTTTTTACTTTTGGTGCCAACGAGAATGAGATAAGAAAGAAGTCAAGACGACTAGCTTGATTCAGTCTCCGCCATGTATATCTCACTAGATCAGCATATTTAAGCCTCCATATATCTACTAGTTCTAATGTATCCATGACATTCACAATTTCCTTAAGAGCATGTGGGTGATTGTTTGTGGTGTGATTTCCTTTTCGGTCCATTGAGCTATTTAAAACAGTATTATAATCCCCCACCATAATAATATTGTCTTGAGTTGCTTGCAGGCTTGATAATTTATTATATATATTGTCAAAGAATTGTGGATCATCATTATTTGGTCCGTAAAGGTTAATGAGCCATATCTGTTTATGGTCCAATACCATATTTAAAATAATCCATCTACCTTGCGTATCTATTTGGACAATTTGCACATTCGGATCGAAATTACTATTAATTAATATCATCACCCCTTTTGAATTTCTTTGCCCATGGGAGAAGTATATTTCCCCCCCCCCATTCTTTTTTCCACGCTACTTCATCTCGATCATGTGATACTTAAATAAAGTCCACCTGTGTGCAATCTAACTAAATATGTGATTTCTGAAGGTAATTGGTCTTCATAGCAAAGGGGGTGAATACATAGAGTGGGGAAAAAAAGTATTTAGTCAGCCACCAATTGTGCAAGTTCTCCCACTTAAAAAGATGAGAGAGGCCTGTAATTTTCATCATAGGTACACGTCAACTATGACAGACAAAATGAGAGAGAAAAAATCCATAAAATCACATTGTAGGATTTTTAATGAATTTATTTGCTAATTATGGTGGAAAATAAGTATGCCCGGGCGGTGTGCTTTCACAAAGAACAATGGACAGTGCGTGTCTTTGTGCGATGCGAATGGATCTACGGTGGCTAGACCATATCTCTCCCAGATCTGGTTCACCACCTGGGGATGGAGTCTCCAATCCCCATAAAGGGGATTCTCTCTGGACAACAAGTCCGCTCCTACATTCAGTACACCCGGGACATGAGTCGCACGTAATGAGCGGAGGTGTGCTCTGCTCCGTCTGATAGTATAGCTCTATAAGAGAGAGAATCCAGCTTGACGCCTAGGTAATCTATTCTCTGTGCGGGTACCAAACAGCTATTTTTCTGGTTGAGAAGGGAAGGCGTGTCTCGTACTGCTTGCTCTTGTGTTGGGGAGAAAAGCAGGTAATCGTCTATATAGAGATACTCTTGGTAGATACTCTTGGTGCTAGAGCCGCCTCCACACACTTGCCGAACATTCGGGGTGCTAGTACTAGCCCGAAAGGGACAGCGAGGTATTCGTAGACTGTGCCTCATTTTGATGTCTCAGTTATGGGATATGGCCAACTCTCGTATCGCAAACATGCTCTCTGAAGCCAGGGTAGTCCCAACAGCATCACACCTCAGAGGCTCCAACACTGAGGACAGTATGAAACCAACAAAGGTGCAGTGACATCCAGTCGGTATAACCTCATAAATGTATGAGGGGTGGCCCAACATGCCGCATTGCAAATCTCTTGCAAAGAGATGCCTTTGAACAGTGCCCAAGAGGTAGCCATCCCTCAGGCCAAGAGGTAGCCATCCCTCTGGTGGAATGAGCCCTCAGGCCCTCCAGGGTCTGTAAACCCTTGCTATTATAAACCAATATAATAGCCTATCCAATGTGATAGTCACTGACTTGCTGAATGTTCGGGGAGCTAGTGCTAGCCCGAAGAGGACAGCAAGGTATTCGTAGGCTGTGCCTTGAAAGGCAAACCTGAGAAACCTCCTGTGCACTGGAAGAATACTTATGTAAAAATAAGCGTAGACTGAAGTGAACCAGTTGCCTCGACGAATAGAGCGAGACAGCATGTTGAGCATAAGCATGAATCTCAAATGAAAACGGATGGCTTCATAGCAAACTGCAGTCTGTACCCTTTTGTGACTGTGGACAAGACCCAGGGCTGGACTGCGCATGCGCACCAGTTCCCTCCTCTTGCAGCGAGTTGCCCACAACTCATTGGTGCTGGAGCGCCCTCTGGAGGCATTATGGCGAGTTGCCCCTTTCTTGTATTTTTGCTCTGTGCCCTTGTGCTCTGTGCTCCACCCGAGAGGATGCAGGCCAGGACACGTAGTGAACTATTGCCTTAAGGCGTCCCCCCACCACAGCAAGGCTCATGGAGCGCGCACAGCCTTGAATGGCACCTCTGGAGGCCCGTAGGTTGAGATCTGCATGACGGCTTGTGATGCTGCACTGGGTTAAGGTGGTAGGCCAGTGACGGCTCAACTACTGGGAGCTTGACCAACTCCTCCATGTCCTTAATGTCCATGTTCGTAAAGTGCCTGGTCTTTACTGGACAAGGGCTTGTCCCAGTTGAGCTTGGCTTCCGCCACGCAAGCTGGGACCGCTGGGAGAAGTTGCTTTCCCGGGACGGTGTGAGAAGGGAGTCTCCTCCCATCAAACCAATCCCTTTTGGCGCCGCCACCCCCCACGGGTGCAGGGCACTCGATATTGAGTCTGGCCACTGCCCGTCTGCAGACATCGATAAGCCAGAATCTGTCATCGGGTATCAAAGCTCCATTGAGGGCAGAAGAGGGCCTTGAGCCTGGGGCTTGGGCTTCCTCTGGGAAGAGGCCAGTCATGTCCTCGCCATCGAAATCATTGATGATGAGGTCCCCTTCTCCTTCCTCCGCTGTAAAGTCATCGAAGAGTGCATGCTTTCTTTGTCTCTCAAACGAACAAAGCGCGTCTCTCGACCGTCGAGCTGTGAAGCTAGGGCGCTCAGTCTAGTCAACACGGCACGGGTGAACATGAGTTGAGCTAAGAAGAGAGGAGAGCTAGCAATTCTGCCTTTTCAGGTAGAAAAGCTAGTGTGGCATAGCTGGCCTTGCGGTGAGTTACCCAGGTTAGCTATGCCTTGCGGCGAGAGCTAGCCCTTTGTAGCTAGCTAGCCAAGTTAGCTAAAGCCTTGCGGCTTGGGGTAACCAAGTCTCAATAGCTAGCAATGTGATGCTAGCTACCACCGGAGACTGAGAAGCAAAACTTTCCTTTCGGTCAGTACTCAACACTATCAACAGGAGCTGAGGTCCTACGTTCGGCAGCATCAACCTCACGGTTTACCTGAGGCCAGTTCAGTAGGAACGGTTTAGTGGTGCTGAGGAAAGCTTCAGGAGCTTTAGTGCTCGCTTCCACAAGGAAGAGAGGTGAAAATGACCAGAGGAGGGGAGGGGCTCACCTCCATCGCCACTTAACCTGTCTGTCTCCAACAGACGTTGTGTGATTGGTTCTTCAAGTTAGTGATTTGCTAGAGTGAATCCCATAAGTGAGACATTGAAACTAGTATTAGAAATAGAACCTCAGTGAGATTCATGCCAGAGTAGTTCCATCTCCTAAGGGAGAGAGGGGGGGGGGAGAGAGGGAGAGAGAGGGAGAAAGAGGGGGAGAGAGAGAAAGAAAGAGAAAGAGAGGGGGAACAAGAGAGACCGAGGGAATGAGAGAGAGAGAGGTGGGGAGCGAGAGAAAGAGAGGGAGAGAGAAAGAGGGGAGTCGAGATATCTATTCTCTACAGCTCAAAGACTGCCTTGAGTTAACAACAGCCTTAAATATATTAGACTAAATGAGATTCTCTCTATTTTACATGCCGTTTAACTTGTTTTTACAACAGAGTTGTTCCCCGCCAGCTTTCTTTAACAGCATTTGACCTGTATACCCTGTTCAAAAACGATGACACAAAAGGCAAAGAAATATGTTTTTAGTCACACTGGCTGGCTGCATTGAACTAAGAGGGATTCTGGCCAGCAGCATTGTATTAATGAGCATTAAGGTCATGGATATTTTAATCTCCACTGTCCAGACCTGGGTTTAAACACTATTTTAAATCATTTCAAATGTTGCTGTGCTTGATTGAACTTGCCTGCCACAATAGAGCCAATAGAATCATTATAAAACTGCAAACCCATCCATCTGGCAATGCAGGCAGGCTAAAGCAAACGCTAAAAGTATTTGAAAGATTTTGAATAGTATTTGAACCCAGGTCTGCCACTGTAATGTTGAACTCTGTAACGAGAATGTCCTGTACAGTAGAAATGACCAGGATGACATCATCCTCTAAGCTACAATAAGGTCTAGGGGAGGGGAATGTGATAACGTGTCCTTGTACTGACATCCAGTGTGTCCTAAATGGCACCCTATTCCCTATATAGTGCACTACTTTTGACCAGAGACAATAGGGGTCCCCAGCCTTACATCAACAGTACTGGAAACGAAACCCAACATTCCATGTAGAGGTTGTGATTCAATGTAAGGCATTCTATGACAACAGGATATCATGTTCGCCATAACCTAACTGAATGAGCCAAAGTCTGTGTCTCGAATGGCAGCCGGATCACTACAGGCCTATGGGCCCTGATCAAAAGTAGTGAACTATATAGGGAATAGGGTGCCATTTGGGATGTATACAGAGTGTGGAGGAGACTGTTAGCGAGAAGTGAAGCAATCTAAAGACCATCAAAGCTTTGTGTAAAATGCTTCATGTCCCAAGGGCAAACTCTGCACTAAGGCTCTTTACCTTAAGTGACCATAGGGGCGGCAGGTAGCCTAGTGGTTAAGTGCGTTGGGCCGGTAACCAAAAGGTTGCTGGTTCAAATCCCAGAGTCAGCCAGGTGGTAAAAATCTGCCGTTCCGCCCTTGAGCAAGGCAGTTAACCCCCAACAACACCCCGCACCTCTCTGATTCAGAGGGATTGGGTTAAATGTGGAAAAACAACAACATTTGAATGGATTCAATTGTGCAATTGGGACGTATACAGAGTGTGCACCTGACTAGGTATCCCTTCCATAGAATGAGTGATGTCTTTGAACAGCTACTATGATCTGTAAGGAATTAGCAAAGTTATGACGCGTCTGAACTAATGACCAATCACATACTCTGTGCTGTTGCTCCATACTAATTCATTGCATCAAATAGACAAAAGGATTCCCTAGTAAATAAACAGAAGCAAAACGGGGAGAGACCTACCTGAACTTGTTCAATAAGAAACTCTCTTTCTGCTGCATTTTTCTATGTGTGCACTAATGAATACACCCCTGGATGAAGATGATAGTGTTACAGGACGTTCCCGCACATGAAAGTTGTTGTTGTGCCAATGGTTAAATGTCAACATGCTTGTCATGTGCTACTATTCATGCTTTTCCTCAGCATTGGTCTGCCATGAACACTGCCGGCCAGAGAATAAAACATCTTCATGATTTCCCATAGTCATTAGTCAAACTGAAGCATCACAGGTTGCAATCCAGAAAGCACCCTATTCCCTATGTAGTGCACTACTTTGGAACAGGACCGATAGGGCTAGGGAATAAGGGACGCGGACACACACTCACCTGACACAAAGGCCACTTTCTCTTTCAGCACAGGCAGGACATCAGACGCCTTAATCCCATCGTTCCTGAAGGACCCTTGAGAGGAGAAGGAGAGACAGATCAGGACAAGATTCAGCTAATCAGGACAAAATGAAGATAATCAGCTTTCATCTCTGTAATCTCATTAAGAGATGTACATTCCTGATATAAAAGGAACACATAACTACAGTCTGATGATGACAACACAAAAACAAGCTCGCTCTTCTTCTCAATGTTTTTCCCAGACCCTGAGAACTTTTTCTTCACAAAGTTTTCACAAAGTTTTCTAAGCCTATGGCGTAATTGGAACAGGAATAAATTACGGTAAAAAAGAGAATGAATAGAATGCATTACAGATACTGTTACAGTACTCTATACTATATATGTAGGCCCGGCTTCTTCTTTATCATTATCTGTAGTCACATACCTGTAATATCGTCGTTAAAGTCCGGCATGGTATATGAGCATCGAAAATAGGTTCATTTGCATTCAAGAGAATGTTTCCGAATCACAGAGCACCATTCAGGGCTATAACAAAGCTATTACCGTAGGTTTCTACTGCTCTTTCCCTCTCATTGAATTTGGACTGCATACAGACTTGGTATTCACACCAGTGCCTGGCCACTTTCCTCTTTTGATCGCACAAAAACACAGGGGGAGAGGCAAGGACATTGATCATAACGCAACAGCAGCACAATGAAGAGCATTCTCCACACTACACCACAGCGTGATATGGAAAACACAGCACTGAACCACCCCAGTGTGTTCGAGTTGATGTCTACAAACATCAGCCGTTTCTCATCTTATTCAAGTGCTTAATGCTAGTCTTTTGGGCGTCAACATTCTAACAGTCTAATAAATACATTTCATATATGCTACCGCAAAAATGATCATTTGGTTGTGTTTATGAATGTCTTCGGTAACAGAATATGAAAGACACTTTGTTTCAAAGAACACAATAGTATTTTCATTAGTTTATGTAACTGTAGGCTATGTGTACAAATTAAAAACCGGTCTTGAATAATGCACTGAGAAAGTTACAGACAAACAAATATCGTACCCCCCCCAAAATGCTAACCTCCCCTGTTATTGTAATGAGAGGTTAGCATGTCTTGGGGGTATGATATTTGTGCGTCTTTAACTTTCTCATTCATCATTATTCACGATTCATTCAGGACTATCTGTAATCATGGTAGCATCCACATTAATGTAGAAGTGTTTAGAAACTTATTATAAAATGACACAATACATTATTTACCATTCATTTCTATTGGGCACAAAATAATCTGAAACACAACCAAAACAAATAGCAAATGCATCAAATATCATTTTGTGCTAGGAATACGGGACCAAATATTAAACTTTTGACTATTTTAATACACATAGTGAATTTGTCCAAATACTTTTGGTCACCTAAAATGGGGGGACTATGTACAAAAAGTGCTGTAATTTCTAAACTGGGGGGACTATGTACAAAAAGTGCTGTAATTTCTAAACTGTTCACCCGATATGGATGACAATACCCTCAAATGAAAGCTGACAGTCTGAACTTAAACTTCATAGTCATGCTATCATTTCAAATGCAATGTGCTGGATTACAGTGCCAAAACAACAAAACATGTGGCACTGTCCCAATTATGTGTCACTCTCCCAATAATTACGGAGGGCACTCAATGTTCATATACACTACATGACCAAAAGTATATAGACAGCTGCTTGTTGAACATCTCATTGCAAAATCATGGGCATTAATATGAACTTGGTCCCCCCTTTGCTGCTGTAACAGCCTCCACTCTTCTGGGAAGGCTTTCCACTAGATGTTGGAACATTACTGCGGAGACTTGCTTACATTCAGCCACAAGAGCATTAGTGAAGTCGGGCACTGATGTTGGGCAATTAGGCCTGGCTTGCAGTCGGCGTTCCAAAGGTGTTCGATGGAGTTGAGGTCAGGGCTCTGCGCAGGCCAGTCAAGTTCTTCCACACCGATCTCGACAAACCATTTCTGTATGGACTTGTCACGTTCGTTTATGGACGGGTCAGACCAAGGCGCAGCGTGATATGCATACATGTTTATTGACAACGAATAAACAACCTACAAAACAACAACCGAAACGAAACGTGAAGTCCAAGGTAGAACACACAACATACCTTTCACGGAACAAGATCCCACAACTAGACAGTGCCAATAGGCTGCCTAAGTATGGTCCCCAATCAGAGACAACGAGCGACAGCTGCCTCTGATTGGG